CCTCCTCCTCCTCCTCTTCCCCCCCCTCCCCGGGCCTGGCTCTTCTCTCCAGACCTTCGTTTGGTAGCGGGGAGCCAAGCAGCCCTTCCTAGCGGGCTCTGAGGAGGGCGATCCCCTGGCGTTACCTTCGCCTTTCCCCAGGATGCGGCAGCACAGGTTCTGCAGGAGGACGTTGGGAGACTTCTGGTCCGGACTCGCCATCCTGGCATCGGCCGGAGGGGAGGGGAGGGGAGGGGAGAAGGTGCACCCTCACTATCGGTCCCCCACCCCAACTTCCGAGGGCCGCTTCTCCCCCGCCCCGTCTTCGCCTACTCCGTTACTTAAGGCGCCATTTTAATAGACCCGCCGAAGGAAAGGGGGAGGGGGGAAGGGAGAGGGGCAAGGGAAACAGCCACGGTTTTCAAACGTGCCTCCCCATAATCCCTCGCAGCTCGAGCGGTGTAACACCGAACCCTTTCCCTCGCGCAACCGCCGAAATGCGGCCAAGAGGTTCCGCGGCATCAAACAAGCACCGTCACAAAACACGGGACGGGGATGGGGGTGGGAGAGAGTGTTTCTGCATCTAATTTCTTTTTCAAGCCGCCTCCTGGCGCCATGATCAGTCAGAAACTCTTCCCTTGACGGGGTCAGAATTAACAAAAATTAGATTTCTTACTGGTAAGTTGGCCACGCCGTTATGTCGTTGGCCAGGGCATGACGTCATCATATTTAAATTCTTGGCGCGGGAGTCTGTAACATAAAGGCTTCAGTTGACCTATTTCGTTGTTCCGCTTTTAGGTCTTCTAAAACTGAATTAGGGATTATTAAAAAAAACAAAAAAAACACCGCACGCACACAAAGAGACTGTATGTATGTGTGTATGTTATATTTCTGTCCCGCCGTTCCTTCGCAGATTTCAGGGCACATTACAGAACTATCTTCACAACACCCCTGTGAGGTGGGTCAAGCTGAGGTTACCAGTTAGTTCCATAGGTCAATGGAGGCTAGGACTAGAATCTTCCAAATCTCAGTCCAGTTCTTGAACCACTACACTATATTGTCCACAGAATACTAGCTGCAACATGTCTTGCATCAAAACAGTACAGTCATTGCACCATTCAAAAAGCAGCATCCTGAGAGATAGTAGGCATTTTTGCAGAAGATGGAGATATGAAAGTATACTGTACTTCTAGTCTACATGTTGAACTACAATTCTCATCATCCTTGATTATTAGCCACAATGGTTGGGTTGATGGGTGTTGGGTTCCAATAACGTCTGGAGGGCCATAGGGTCCCAATCCATGTTTTAAAGCTTCTGCTTTAATGCTAAAGGATGACCTATGTAGGTTTTTTTAAAACCACTGATCTATGTATTCCTTTTTGTCTTTTAAATTGAATGCTTTAAGTCTGCTGAACAGACTTGAAAGTAAATCCAATTGAAATCGATTAGATGTGCTTCCAATTAAATATGGGCACAGTAGACATGTAATTTTGATGTATACTTTTGTATGCATAATCTTACAGACCAATTTTAGGCATACAGTATTTATATGGGAGTAAGTCCCATTGAATCCACTGGAAATTTTTACTGTGCAAGCATGCATAGGATAGCCCTTTAAAAAACTATAAATTTCTAAAAATATGTTTTCTAAAATTTTATGCTTATTTAAAATGTTTTAACGTGTGTTTGTATTTCACCTGAGATTTTAATGTTTTCATAAACTGTTCCAAAAGTGCTTTATCCTAAGGGCAGGATTTAAATGCCCCAAATAAACTGAGATACCATTTTTTAATCAATGTCTTATATAAACTGGAAACCATAATGTGTTTCTTGGCTTCTTGTATTTATAGGAGATATTGTATGAAAAAGTTATAATAAGGGAACTCACTAACATAGAAATTATAATTATTCCTTTATATTCCTGCTTGCCGAAGCTGCTATTCAATTAGATGAGGAATGAATGAACAGAAACTAGTGGACTTGTGATTGTTTGCACAGCACTCTGGCTTCATGTGTTGAATGAAAGGTTTAAGTGCTTCTGGGAAGAGTCTTCAGATGAGATTCAAAGCGCAGAAGCAGGTCAGCAACCATAGAGTTAAGACGATTAGAGTAATGTATAGGCTTCAGAAAACTGTTCTTTAAAAGTGCTCTGTATCTAGACTAGCATTTTCATCATCTCTCTCTGAGCCTTGGTAAAGCAGTTTTGCACATCCTGTTGTGTTGTTAGCTAAGTGTAGTTCCTACATCCTGCCATAGCGTTTTCTCTCCAGTAATTTTATTTTGCATTCTGCCTGCTAGTATTCTGATGCCCTTACAGCAATACACAGGAATTATCTGTTAAATATACAAATAGAGGAACCACTATAAACAAGTTCATAACATCAACAAAATATTAAACAGGTAAATGCAAGGGATAAAATGAGAACAAGCTGATATCCTGGAACTACATTAAATGCAGACCTCAGACTAATTATATAAATTTCTGGGGTAGACACCCTTGGGGTGTTTTGAACTATAGATCTCTCTCTATTGGCCATGTTTGTTAAGGTTCTGAGGAGCTAAAGTCTAAAATAACTAGAGGACTAATTAAGAAGCTATCTGATTTATTTGTTGTAATAAAGGAATTAATTAAGAAGAAAACTTACATACTTTTTTAAAATCAAGGAAGAGATTTTCAGTTTGTGAATTATTTTTGTACCACGAACAAGGCCCATAGAAACTGACTCTGGAGCAAAATGTCCACATTAATGTACTTCTACTGCACTGTTGGTCATCAGAACTGTCTTGGCACAGCAGAACCTCTGTATCTGTGGATTTGGTTTCCACAGTTTCCATTATCTGTAGTTTAGTGCTTTTTGAATGTGCCTTTTTAGGCTATAAACTCGTGCATTTCTGAATGTAATTAAAACATTTTTGTTGGTAAATTGCTGTATCTCTTATATTCCTTAGGTTTAGTTTTCATGTTCTTAAATTATACCTACAGTTTTTCCTATGTTCTGAGCCTTTTGGATGTTTTTGATAACTTTGAATTACAGTATTTCTGTGCATATGGAATGTAGTGACGTAGATAAATACCGCTTGTAGTGTATTATAACTAATAGACATACCTAACTTGTAATGGACATATCTTTAATGTAGTTCCAGGATATCAGCTTGTTCTCATTTTATCCCTTGCATTTACCTGTTTAATATTTTGTCCTACTTTGTAAGACAGATGGCGAGAGGGGTACCCCACTCGCTGGAGAGCCATCCCTCCTCAACAGCAAAGTAAAGGAAGAGAACCCCAGGCCCACACCAGTCAACAGAGGAATTCCAACAGGAGGTGAGAATAGAAGATTTGACAGAGGACATGCAGAGAGTAAAAGTGGAGGAGGTTCAGGGAGAAAAGGTGGGAAAGGAGAGAGGGAAAGGAGTGGAGTTTGAAGTGGGAACGGGGGAGGTAGAGAGGAAAAGGGATTAGTTACTACCAGGCTGGAAGTGGGTATGGACGCAAGATCCATCAGTTGGAGTATGGGAGCGATTGAGGGTTCCTAGGGAAGAGTCTGATTATAGAAGGAGATCAGAAATTCCACCTAGACCCTCATATTGGGGGGTGGCAGAGGCAAGAGAGTGGAGGAGAAGACTGAGGGAGGAGAAAGAACGTGTAGAGAGAGTAAAGAGAAAGATTGGACTGGAGAGTAATGGAAATGAGCAGAAGGAATTACAGGGAGGATCATGGGCGAGCCGATAGGCCAATGGAAGGATCCAGTGGGAAGACTGCGTAGACGGGGAGACCGTGCCCCTGTTGGATGACCCAACGGGGCAGACCATGAGAGACTAGGTCCCTCCGCCTTACCAGGACCTTGGAACAATAGTTTTGGAAAGCCGTTCCTGTTTGAAGAATGGAGACCCCTTCCAGACCCGTTGGCAGAAGGAGACAGAAATCATGAACATGTTCAGGACACGTGTTTATTGTTAAATACACCAATAAATCTTTCACCAGTTTCCAAATAACAAAAAACGTCTGATTTCCTTGAGTCAAAGATAGAGCCAAAGGTCGAATCCTTACAATCTTAAGCTGTTTTTAAAGTGGTATGACACATATTCAATGCACACTTAATTTTTTTAACTTCCTCAGCCCTTCTACAGAGCTGGGGAAGCATTTAATTTGCCAGTATCCTGAAGTTGCTCTTTTAATTCACTTCATGAAACTGGTAAATTGACAGCAAGCTAGGGTTGCTTGAGGTCTGTATGTCATTTGGATGCCAGAATCGCTCCAAATTGTATGCCAGACTTCCTAGCAACCCTATTTAGTCCTTTCCCACCTTATATAGACAAACTCTGTGACATAATATGACCTCTCCCAAACCATAAGTAGATAACATTCTACAAATTTATGTGTGGAAGAGAATGGATGCTGATTTAAGCCTTAAGTGGTTGTTTAAAGCATGTTAAATTCATTTTTTCCTCCTTTGATCAAGCATAATTTGGTTATAAAATGAATAGGCTGGAAGGGAAGAAGAGACCTGCCTGTCAGCTAGGCCTGCAGCTCAACTATATGAAAGTCTAAACCCATCATGGTTGAGTAGAAACTTTCTTTATGTCTTGGCAGCAAATTAACTAAATAATAGTTAATTAGGGTTAGGACCAAGGCAGACCTTTCAACATCACAATAATCCAAGTTTATGCACCAACCACCATTGCTGAGGAGACTGAAATTGAACAATTTTATGAAGATTTACAACACCTTCTAGAACTGACACCAAAGAAAGATGTTCTTCTCATTCTAGGGGTCTGGAATGCTAAAGAGATAAAAGGAACAACAGGGAAGTTTGACCTTGGAGTTCAAAACGAAGCAGGACAAAGGCTAATAGAGTTTTGTCAAGAGAACAAGCTGGTCATCACAAACACTCTTTTCCAACAACACAAGAGGCGACTCTATACATGGAAATCACCAGATGGGCAATATGGAAATCAGATTGATTATATTATCTGCAGCCAAAAATGGAGAAGCTCTATACAGTCAGCAAAAACAAGACCTGGAACTGACTGCGGATCTGATCATCAGCTTCTCATAGCAAAATTCAAGCTTAAACTGAAGAGAGTAGGAAAAACCACTGGGCTACTCAGGTACAATCTAAACCAAATCCCTTATGAATACACAATGGAAGTAAAGAACAGATTTAAGGAACTTGATTTGGTGGACAGAGTGCCTGCAGAACTTTGGATAGAGGCTCGTAACATTGTCCAGGAGGCAGCAACGAAAACCATCCCAAAGAAAAGGAAATGCGAGAAAGCAAAGTGGCTGTCCAACGAGGCCTTAGAAA